TTTTTTTTTTTTTTTTTTTATAAAATATTTGTTTTCCCACGTGTACTTTTTATTAATTTTGACTTAATTTTTGCATATGGTGTGAAGTAACCTTAGACTGGGGAACCTGGTGTGGAGCTAGGACCCCTCACTCCTCAGGGGGGACCTCCAGATTTTGTTTTAGAATATATCTTTGATTTCAGAAAGGAGAGAGAAACATCAATGATGAGAGTCATTGATTGGCTGCCTCCTGCACGCCCCCTCTTGGGGATTGAGCCTGCAACCTGGGCATGTGCTCTGACAGGGAATCAAACCTCAATCACCTGGATTATAGGGACGTCCAGATTTCTAACCACCACACGTGGGTGTGAGACCAGCCCATTCTGCATCTCCACGCCTCCTACCAGTCTTGTTGTGGTTTCTTTTGCATATCCTTAGTTATAGTTCAGTTAGACTTCAGGGGGTTCTGTAGTTTTGCTGTAATTTTGATGTGGTCGTGGGAGAAGGGAAGCACATTTACCTACTCTACTAGTGTTGTTTTCTTTCACAACTTTAAATATTTTATTCTACTACCTTCTGGTGTCCATGGATTCTGGTATGAAATCAGCCTGAACGAACTAGGAAAGGTCAAAACAGGATGTCATTTCATCACATCGTCCATAATTGCATCAATGCAATTGATTTTGTTGATAGACGAGTCTCTACTGCGCATCCCTGACTTCCCTCCTGAATCCCAAACCTGAGGTTCCTGCAGCCTCCTGGATAGCCTCCCTCTAGAAGTCTCCCAGATCTCCTACACACACCATGACCCCAACTGGCCTCAGTGTTTTTCCCAAACCTGCTCTTTCTCCCTGGTTCTGATCTCAGGGATGGCTTCTTTGTCCCCCGGGACCTAAGGTCCTGGGCCTTTTCTTAAATTCTCCCTTGTTCCTATTCCTTACGTGTCCCACCACCCCACAGCGTGTTCACTAGGCCTCCCTAAGCATCTCTCCCTCTTGCCTGCTCCTCTCCTTCCTCAACCAGGCTTCGGTCGAGCACCATCCTCTTCTGCCCAGGTCCCTGGCCTACTGCCTCCCTGGGATCTCTGCCTCCAGTCCTGAGCCATTCTCCACAGGGCAACCAGGGACACTGTAATATCTGACCACATCCTTCAGCCTCTCAGTTCTGAGTGCTCCTCTGATAATTCCCAAGCTCAATAGCATGGCCTCTGGCCTTGCCTGCTCTGGAGCTGTCTCCTTATGGACAAGCTGGTCTGGCTCTCTTCCCTGTTGTCCCTTCAGAACGTATGTCCCCTGGGCCTCTACTCCTAGAATGGGGGATTAGAGGGGGTAGTCATAGGACTCCCAGAGTCAGCTCACTTGAGACCTCTGGGGAGGGGCTGGAGTTGAGCCCACTGTGTAGACAGGGAGTGGAGTACAAACATGCATTTGCTATTTGCCTTTCAGCTTCCTTTTCCCCTTCTTTTTTTTTTTTTAAAAAAAGTTTTTTTAAACTGTATTTTCTAGAGCAAGAGGAAGAAAGAGGGAGAGAGAGAAAGAAACATCCAGGAGAGAGAACATCAATTAGCTGCCTCCTGCGCACCCCTCACTAGGGATCAAGCCTGCAACCCACACACGTGCCCTGACCAGGAATCGAACTGGCAATCTCCTGGTGCATAGATCGATGTTTAACCACTGAACCTCATTGGCTGGGGCTTTTCCCCTTCTTGATAGCACATTGTTCTTTTAAGAAATGCTCTTATACACACACAGACACACACACACCACACACACACACACACAAAGACAAGTGTTAAATTAGGATAAGAATGACTTCCCTCAGATCCAGGGGCGTGCTCTGATTGACTTAAACCACTCAAGGTCAAATCCCTCTGGCAGTGTGAGTAGTAAACTGGTGAGCCTATGACCGAACCAATCAGAGTGATTGACAGGACTGACAGCCTGGGAATGTTAGACTCCAGCCCTTTCTTCCTCTGGACAATAGGACACTTGGATGTGTACCCTCAGCCTGGGGCAGAGGGGGGGCAGTGGTGCTGGCCTGAGGTCAGAGACCACACTCAGAGTAGGGCAGATCAGGGAAAGCTACAGAGAAATGGAATGAGAATTTTGTGGATATTGAAGACTTCTGGATCAAACTGTAACTGAAGCTTATCTTGACAAAACCCATATATTATTATTTCCATTTGGACTATTTGAGTGAAGTTTCTGCTACTTGCAACTAAAACAAAGATCATAACCTCTCACCCAGCCGGGCATGGCTCAGCAGTTGAGCATCAACCTAGGATCCAGGAGATCATGGTTCGATTCCTGGTCAGGGCACATGCCCGGGTTGAGGGCTCGGTCTGCCCCAGTTGGGGGTGTGCAGGAGGCAGCTGATCGATGACGACTCTCTCACCATTGATGTTTCTATCTCTCTCCCTCTCCCTTCCTCTTTTTAAAATCAATAAAGATAAAAAAAATTTTTTAAAAAAAGATCCTAACCTTTCAAGAGTCCTCTCCTGAAGCTAAGGTGTTGACATCTGAAATATTTAAGGACTGGTACTAAACCTGGGCACTGAACAGTCAGAACAGACTTCAGGCCATAGCAATGGGCCTGGGTCATGGAGGACCCTGCTGGACTGTAGAGAGGTTGGGGAAACCCTAGGGCAGAGCTGAGCTGGCAGGCACACAGAGAAGCCACTACTTACCAGCTGGCACAGAAGGATTTTGTTATTTTAATGGCCTATGTAGCTGTGTGGTCTGAAGGAGAAATAAAAATTCAAGCAAAACAGAAAGAAAGGTGGGAATGGGTGACAGTTGGCATTTCAAAGATGGCCCAGGAAGTAGGGAATGAGGGTGGGTGGGACAGGTAAGAGGCCTAGGCCAGTGACTTCCTCACCCTTCCCTCAGGCTCAGCCTTGGAGCTGGCCTTGAAGACAGAACTAGATTTGTTCTCAAGGGTGGCTTTGGAGGAGGAGCTGTATGTGTAGTAGGAATCTGAGGCAATCACGTTGTTAATCTTCCAGCGCAGGGAGTCGCAGGCCTTCAACATAAGGGGCAGCAAGAGGCAGAAGGTGATGTAGAGGCACACCAGGCTGAGAAACACGCCAGCTGTCACCTGCACAAACCACACGACAGGCGTGGCTGGGCAGCCTGGGGGAGCCCCTCCACCTCGCAGGGCAGCTCCTGAGCAGCCACTCACCATGAAGATGAAGATGGCGCGCTTGGCACTGAGTGGAAGCCCGTGGACATGCAGCAGGAAGGTGAACTGATAGTCACAGTATGTGCTCTTGTCCACACCTCTGGGGGGAGAAGGGGTCCAGGATTGGGGAGGAGCCAGGCACCCCACAGGAAGCCCCCGACCCCACCCGGGCCATATGCCTGGCTTACTTATTGCTCACCAACAGCTTGAAGAAGAATTCGGGGGCGAAGATGCTTTGGGGAACGGTGTCGTGGCATGGGGAGTTCTCCAGACACAGCCACCTAGGGGCCCATGTTCAGACACTTGTGCTGCAAATCATGCATAGCACATGCCCACCCTCGATTTCTCCCTCTGCCCCCCAAAACTCTGGGTGAGCACCAACCGGGTACAACCTTGCACCTGTATCCCTGGTTCATTCCTCCACTCATTCACCCAGTGAGGCTGGCCTAGCAAGGGACAGGGCCCCTGCTTACTCATCCATTTCCTCCTCCTTCCCCCGTCCATCTGCCAGTTCCCTTTACTATGCATTCATCTAGAGCAGGGGTGGGGAACCTTTTTCCTGCCAAGGGCCATTTGGATATTTATAACATCATTCGCAGGCCATACAAAATGATCAACTTAAAAATGAGCCTGCTATATTTGACCAAACGTTTAATGAACTCACCCCTAATGTGATGGCTGGAACAGCTTCTCTTTGGTGAGGCCTTGGCAGGGCCAGACCAAATGCCTTCCCGCAGGCCGGACGTTTCCCACCCCTGATCTAGGTTATGGGCTGTATGCCTATGATGTGCCACCTCCTCACTTATTCCTTGCTGCCTTCATTCCTTCATCCCACAAACACAGCTTGAGCACCTACTAGGTACAAAATCACATCTTCATTCATTTACTCTTTCCTTTATTCATTTGTTCAACAAACAGGCTGAATGCCGGCTGGGTGCAAGTTGGTTACTTTGTTCACTCACTCACTTCTGTTATTTGCTCATGGTACCATTGTCTTCCTTTCATTGAATAAAAAAATAGTAATTGAGCCCCTGTATACTAAGTCGCTCCTCCATTGTTTTGTTCATCATTAGGACCTCCGTTCAGATGTCAGTAATGCCTACCATGAATTAATTAATTTGTTCATTCCACAGACACTATGTTCAGCTTATTCTGAATCTGGACCTATAAGGGAGACAGGCCCCAGTCCAGGGTTACAGTGCCAGGAAGGGCAGTCTGAAAACTAAAGGGGATAATGGCTGAGACAGAGCTGCCAGAGCCCCAGGCATTCCTCTTTTCTTTTCTTTTTTAAATCCTTGGCCAAGTGCTCAGGGCTTCAACAGGAGGAAGCACAGGCAGAGGGTCAAGGCTGGGGTGGGGCCTGGCCAGTGTGGCTCAGCAGTCGAGCACCGACCTAGGATCCAGGAGATCAAGGTTCGATTCCCCGTCAGGGCACAGGCCCGGGTTGCGGGCTCGATCCCAACCATGCAGGAGGCAGCTGATGACGGCTCTCTCATCATTGATGTTTCTATCTCTCTCTCTCTTCCTCTCTCTCTGAAATCAATAAAGATTTTTTTTTTAAAGTTTCACACACACACACACACACACACACACACAAAGGCTGGGATGGGGAACACAGAGGGTCAAAGCTGGGATGGGGTAGCACAGAAGGATGGGAGGCAACTGTCCCGTCTAGAACAGTCAGAAAAATCCTCCTAGATGAAGAGGCATCTGAACTAAGGCCTGAAGACAAAGTAAGAGGGACCAGCACTGCAGACAGAGATCCCGCTTCCGTGACGGTCAGCCCCATTTGAGGAACACAAAGGCGGTCAGTGTGGCCTGGGGATCAAGAGGTCTCCCAGAAGCAGAAGGGATGGACAGGCCTGACAGATTGTGGGCATATGGGGGGACAAAAGGCCAGCAGCTGGGGTGTGCACTCACTCGATGCCCAAGTTCTGATGGGACATGATGCTAAAAGGCGAGTTTTTGGAGACTGTTGAGTTCTTGGCCATCCAGATGAGGCTGTCTGTGCTGTGGGGCGGGGCACCTCGTTGGTGGCAGGGCCTCAGCCTCCCACTCTGGGAGGCCGGCAGTATAGGGAGGGGGGGGTCGGGGTTGGAGCCTCACATCGTGGGCTGGACAAGAGTTTGTGGGACCTTAGGAGCCTGGCTGAGACACCGAGGTGGGTAGGGCTTGCAGCGAGGGCGAGGGTGAGGTCCCGGGCTGGGAATCCAAAAGGGCCTGCAGGGGAAGGAAGACCCGAGGACTGGGCTGGGCCCCACGGGGAGTACTTGTCCAGGGGGCTGTTGAAGCGGTAGATCTCCTCCTCGCTGTATTCCCTGATGGTGTCCAGGGTGGGCCCACCGCCCACCACCTTCAGCACGTAGCTGCCAGGAACAGAGGGGCACACCGACTGGCCTCAGGGTCATAGCTACGCCCCCCCCAACTCCACCCCCCTACCCTTC